CCACTGCACTCCAGTCTGGGTGACAGAGTGAGACTCCAACTTAAAAAATAATAATAATAAATACATAAATATATAAATAAGACTGGGCGCAGTGGCTCACGCCTGTAATCCCAACACTTTGGAAGGCTGAGGCAAGAAGATTGCCTGAACCCACGGGTTCGAGACCAGCCTGGGCAACATGGCGAAACCTCGTCTCTACAGTAATTCAGAAAATTAGCCGGGTCTGGTGGTCTGTGCCTGTAGTTCCAGCTACTTGGAAGGATGAGGTGGAAGGATCGCCCGAGTCCAGCAGGTCGAGGATGCGGTGGCTGGGAGCGTGCCACTGCACTCCAGCCTGGGCGACAAAGTGAGACTCCAATAAAAAACAAAAACAAACAAAATTAGTAAATAATATAAATTAAAAATAAAAGTGGACAAGTTTGTCGTCCTTTCCTTTAGCCCAATGTTCTCATCTACACAAGAACAACAATAATACTTCTATAGGGTTGCCACGAGCATTACGTGAGATTGCCCTGCGGAAGGTTTCAGCAATGTCTGAAGTCTGTTAGCAGGGAGATAGCGTTCCTTCATTCATTCGTTTATTGAGCCAGTGAACTCTGACTACCTACTAAGTGCTGACACCACACACAGTAGGTGACAATGATAGGCATGAAGAAACATGGCCCTGCTCTCGGGAGCCTACAGTTAATGCTCCATTTATGTTAGATATTAGGACCAGGCCCAGTGGCTCACGCCTGTCATCACAGCACTTTGGGAGGTTGAGGCAAGAGGATTGCTTGATCCCAGGAGTTCAAGGGCACAGCCTGAGCAACATAGCAAGACCTCGTCTCTACATAAGTTTACGCTGGCATGGTGGTGCATGCCTGTAGCCCCAGCTACTTGGGAGGCAAGCTGGAAGGATCATGTCACTGTACTCCAGCCTGGGCAACCCAGTGAGGTTCCAACTCAGTATATTTTTGTATGTGTGCGTGTGCGTGTGCGTGCATGTGTGTGGCGGGGGTTAGATATTGTTATTAGCAGCATTTCGGTTAGTCTGAGTTCAAGTGACATTACAAAGGAAGGTGAGTGGGAAGGCGAGGAGATCGGTGTGAAAGAGCCGGAATAACAGGGTTACGGAGGGAGGGACAGGGAGGCGGGAAAGCAATTTGTCCCCCGCGTTTCCCACATGGAGGCGGCTCAGACACACATGGAAGAGGAAATGGGGTGAAATCTCTTGAGGAGCGTTTAAGGCAATCTAAGGATTGTTTTACAAGAATGAAAATCGTGGCTCGGGGAATACTCCTTGGGTCGAAGCACAAATATTTGTGGAACGTGATGTCATGTGTTTAACCTGTTCTGCTTTGCTGCAGGGGAAAGTGGAGATGACACTGGAGGTGCTCAACGAGAGGGAGGCCGACGAGAAGCCAGCTGGGAAGGGGCGGGATGAACCCAACATGAACCCCAAGCTCGAACCGCCAAAGTGAGAGGCTCTTTGTTTTCCGTGTTGCCTGGTCCCCAGACACCTGCCGCCAGAAAGCCCCGCTTCCAACTGGCTCATGGGATGGATTCGCTTCTAATGTTGTACTTAACAAGAGAGGGGCCTGGGGGTGGAGGGGTGGGTGATCTGGTTCTTTTTTTTTGGAGTTGGAGTCTCACTCCGTCGCCCAGGCTGGAGTGCGGAGGCATGCTCATGGCCACTGCAGCCTCGACCTGCTGGGCTCCGGCGATCCTTCCACCTTGGCCTCCCAAGTAGCCAGAACTACAGGCACCTACTACCATGCCCGGCTAATGTTTTGATTTATTGTAGAGAAAAGATCTCACCAAATTGCCCGGGCTGATCTCGAACCTGTGGGCTTCGTTTTTAACCATTCTTCTGTCCCAGGAAACCAACATTCCATGAGTCCTCAGCATCTTAGAAAGCCGCCATGGGCTGGGGAGCTTTTCTCAGTCAACAAAGGAGAAAATGTCTTTCCTTGACTCTACAAACCTTGCTCGGGTTTCTGTCCCCCGTGTGATGCTCAGAGGTAAAGCAGGGGTCCCTCCCGGCCCGGGTAGGTAATGGCATCTCTTTGCAACGCAGCCGACCAGAAACATCCTTCCTCTGGTTCACCAACCCGTGCAAGACCATGAAGTTCATCGTGTGGCGCCGGTTCAAGTGGGTCATCCTCGGCCTGCTCTTCCTACTGATTCTGCTGCTTTTCGTGGCCGTGCTCCTCTACTCCTTGCCGGTAGGGGTCCCTCCTCGGCCTCCTCTCAGGCCTTTGGGCGAACGGTGGTCGGTCGTCGAACTTGGCCAGGGCCCTGACCGCCGTTCGGAAGTATGGCCCGCTCAGCAGGGTGGTGTCACAACCTTTCAGCTTTGGGGAAATTTACAGTAATGGGACCTGGGATAAGAATGACATTCTTAGGGTTTTGAGAATTACAGGCAGGACTTTATGGTCTGAAAAGAGCCTCGGTTTCGGGAATCCTAGGAGAAATCACTCTGGCCTTGAGCGAGGCATGTCTGGGCCGTAGCCGGCATTTCTGGCAGATCTTTCTGCCTTCAGACCCTCTTGTTCCAAGCCATCCTGCATCCTAACGCCTTGTCCTGGGTTCAGGGATCCCCAAATCTGGACTTGTTGTAGGTCTACGCCAATCCTGAACTCCACCCACACACGTATTGCCCTTACCTATCTGGATGATTTGCCAGCTGCGTTCCATGGCCCACGTTTTTGTCTATCAAAACTTCATTCTTTACGGCCCACTCCATATATAACCTGCCCCTTAAGTTTCTCTTAATCACCCCGGTCACACATGGGAGCCCGAGTGGGAGGTTTGCCAGCATGCGTAGAATCAGCATCTTTATTTCTCCATCAGAGGGTTTACTGAGCATCTCCTGCGAGCTAGGAATTCAGTGATAGACAGCCAAGGCAGGATCTCTGCCCATGAGCACTTCTTAGCCTGGGGATAAGCGAATGACCAGGTCCATTACTAAGGGAGGCAAGCTGTCATAGAGATACAAACAAATGGCCGTAGGAGCCCATTGCTGGAAAGTTCCATCAAGAGAGGGCATTTAAGCCGGGCTCGGTGGCTCAGCCCGTAATCCCGTGCCTTGGGAGGCTGAGGTGAGTGGATTGCCTGAGCCCACGGGTTCGAGACCCACCTGGGCAACTTGGTGAGACCTCATCTCTACAATAAATCAAAAAAAATTAGCCAGGTGTGGTAGCACGCGCCTGTAGTTCCAGCTACTTGGAAGGCTGAGGCGGAAGGATCGCCAGAGCCCAGCAGGTCGAGGCTGCGGTGGCCGGGAGCGGCCACTGCACTCCAGTCTGGGCGACAGAGTGAGACTCCAACTCAAAAAAAAAAAAAGAGAGAAGGCATTTAAGTTCGGCTTGCCAGGAGCAGAAGGGATAGTTGAGCAGAAGAAACCATGAGCAGAAGCCAGGCAAATGGCACTGAGTGTCACAGAGGGCATTCAAAAGCTCTTACACCTGCCAGGTGTGGTGGCTCACACCTATAAACCCAGCACTTTGGGAGGCAGAGGTGAGAGGGCTGCCTGAGCCCACAGGTTCAAGATCAGCCTGGGCAACATGGCGAGACCTCATCTCTATAGAAAATCAAAAAAGTAGCTGGGCATGGTGGCGCACACCTGTGGTTCCAACTACTTGGAAGGCTCAGGTGGACCGATCGCCTGAGCCCAGTAGGTCGAGGCTGTGGTGGCCATGAGCATGCCACTGCACTCCAGTTTGGGCAACAGAGCGAGACTCCGACTCAAAAAGGAAAAAAGGAAAGAAAGCTCTTCCACCAATTCACATGAATCATCATATCATGGACGTTGTGTTTAGTAACACGGTCCTACAACCATAATAGCAGGGGGTTTTTTGGTTTTGCTTTGCTTTGTGTTTTTTTTGGTTTGGGGGGGTGGTTTGAGTTGGAGTCTCACCTTGTCGCCCAGGTTGGAGTGCCGTGGTATACTCACAGCCACCCCAGCGTCGACTGCCGGGCTCCAGTGATCCTTCCGCCTCAGCCTTCCAAGTAGCCGGAACTATAGGCGCACGCTACCACACCCGGCTAAGCTTTGTTGTTTTTGAGTCAGGGTCACACTCTTGCCCAGGCTGGAGTGCAGTGGCACGTTCACAACTCACTGCAGCCTATACTTACTGGGCTCAAGCAATCCTCCCAGGTATAGGAGCAAACCACCATGTCCTACTAATTTTTTAATTTTGTGGTAAAGACAAGATCTGACTATCTTGCCCACGCTGGTCTCTGACTCCTGGCCTCAAGCAATCCTCCTGCTTCTGCTTCCCAAAGTGCTGAGATTATAGGCATGAGCTACCGTGCCTGACCTCAGGGTTTTTACAGCTTTATTTTCCCCCAGTCTGAGACTTCCAGTTTGTTAACTATGAGTATACACACATTATTTTACAGTTGTAGATTGTCCGGTCTGTCTTGACCATTTAAAAAACTCAATAATTTCTTTTTCCTGATTTAGAACCTAGTGGTTTAAACTAGTGGTTCTCAATGTGGTGGGGATGGGGGTGGATTTTGCCTCCCAGGGGACGTTTGGCGATGTCTGGAGACATTTTGGTTGCAGCAACTGGGGGATTCTGCTGGCATCCAGTGGGGAGATATCAGGGATGCTACTAACACCCTCAATGCCCAGGACACTCCCCAACAAGAAGGAAGCATCTGACGCTAAATGTCAGTAGTGCCAAGATAGAGAAACCCTAACTGATATGCATAAATACACACACATAGATAAACCAGGGGGACCCCATAAAAACAGAATTTATTAAAAATTGTGAGGCCAGGTTCGGTGGCTCAGCCGGTAATCCCAGCACTTTGGGAGGCCGAGATTGCCTGAGCCCGCGGGTTCGAGACCCGCCTGAGCAACTTGATAAGACCTCATCTCTACAATAGATCAAAAATCAGCCGGGCGTGGTAGCACGCACCTGTAGTTCCAGCTACTTGGAAGGCTGA